ATAATATAACGCCTATTTCTTTTACCTAATATCATTGGAATCTTCCAAATTCTACGCTAATAAATAAATAAAAATTGTGTTTATATTTATTAATAATTCACTTGTATAGACTATTCTATTTGAAGACTATTAGTCATCGGCTATTTACACGAAAATCTCAATGAAGGCTCGACGATGGATTTGACGGTATATCACATTATGTCGGAGTCACTCGTACACATTTAAAAATTTTGTTTATAGGACAAAATTTTAATTTGCCAATTATATATAAATTTTAATTAAACAAACATAAGTAACGTTATTATATTTATTTTCTCAATTGGGTTTTGCAAGCCTCTAATTTGTTACACTAGATTTTTTCTTAATAAAACAAAACAAAATCTATTTTTAGAAAAAAATACACTTCCTCAATTCATTCATTTTTTAAAAATTTTCATAATTTCGTATTTATTTTACACATTCTATTTTTTGAAGGTTGAAAAGCTTACACTTGATTGTTTCTTGCTACTAATGACAAATGAAAGAGAAAAAAGAGCGAGACTAAGGTATTTATCTATTTATATATTTAGCTATCTACTTAATAAATGTTAAAAAAAGAATTAAATATCATTAATGAAATCACTAAATTACTAATTTATACGCGTAATTATCTCCTTAATCATCATAATTAGTCATGCTTGTGACAGATGCCGTAAAAGGCACGTAAAGTGTGATGGTGATTTTCCAACCTGTGGTAATTGTAAAACTTATAATAGCGATTGCAGTTACAGTCATCCCGGTAGCAAAAGAGGTTACGCTGAAACTATTGATGAACGATTAAATAAGGTAAAAAATCAATTATGCTGCTGATAATTACATCAATAATGTTATTATTTGATCACGAGCAAAAAATTTATATATTAGATTGAGCAAGTTTTATCAAAATTTCTCGAAGGAAGTGAAATCAATCAACAATTAAATTATATTTTGAATAATCTTGACAACAACAGTGATAATAATAGTGATAATAATAGTAATAACAATAGTAACAGCATTAATAATCATAGTAGTAACGGTAATAATAACAGTAACAGTAATAGTTGTAAGTCTTGAAAATTAATTACCCTTTTGTGTTCTTTATTAGGGACAATGTTTTTATCTGTAATATTTCTTTTATGTTTTTTGGTATTCACATTATCAGATTCTGCCTCAAATGGTTTCTTATGATCATTGTTAGTAATAGTAGTAATAATATTAGCATTGCTGTTATTGATATTATCTTCTTCACTTTCAACTTTATCAATTAAGTCTGTAGTTGTTGTATTATTGATTTGCTATTAATAATGTTTAATTTATTTTTTAAAAAAAATTTTTATTGATAAATTGTATATTTGATTGATTGA